GTTCTATTCGGGTGAAGACGGTAGCCTACACTACATGAGTGTTTACCAGCAGCAACCCTCAAAGTCACAGGTACAGGTAAGTACTGGCCTCGAGGGCCTCAGGAAGAAACAAGCACCCTGGCAGGTCACACACACRCTCATGCTTACATGCACTCAGATAGGCACACGGGAGGCAGCAAGCACGCACACACAGGCTTAGAAAACTCAGCAGACAACGGGAATCTCAACAAGGTGTTTTTGTTTGCTTAGATGTCTTGGGGTTTACGTCCTTCAGGACATCCATTAAAATTGGAACAATACAGAGAAGATTAGCATGACCCTTGCATAAGGATGACGCACATAAATCAAAAAATTGTCTTAATTTTTGAAAAAAAGATGCTTCAGGGCTCAGGATGTAGGAATTACACTTTGTCGTTCATAAGTTGTTCATGAGCAGTTAAAGTGTTTCCTCTACATTGTGTTGGAAATTGTCAAAGATGGATGTCCACTGATTTTGTTGTTTAATTTCTCATTTCTCCACAGGAAGCAACTGTCGAACACATTTCTGGTTCTACAGACTGTGTATCAACAATGCAGTCAATTCAAGAGGCTTTCAATCAGTATTCCACAAGCAGTGTACCTGTGAAGCTTCAGTCATCACCATTTCCGCGATTGGATAATTTCGTTCTAAAACTTGCAAATCGACATCCATTGCCTGGTGAACAATGTAAGTCTTTGTGTTCTTCTGAACATTTTGATGTTATGTTTTTATACTTTTATATGAGTTGTGTACAAAACTCCTATTGAATCTCATGAAGAGTAATACATAGGAACAAAACATTTCATACGAAAGTATAATGAGCCTTCTGAGAACAAACTACAATAAAACTGATGTGTAGTAATAACCTTTTGACCTAGGTTACCTGATCGGACATTCGGGACCCCCCTGACCATCCGGGGTTGTCCGATCGGACAACTGGTCGGACGTCCTCCCCGAAAGATCTGAGAAAAAAGTATGTTATACAGAAAAATAAACTGAACAACTTTTGCCTTGGAATCATATCAAAATTCGTTTCCAATTTTAAAATAAAAAATAAAATAAAAAGAAAAACCCTTCTTTTTACTTTTTTTCGTGCTTTTAATTGCTAAAAATGGAGTTGTCCGGGCCCGGACGTCCGGGACCCCCCTGACTGTCCGGCCAGGACGTCCTGCCATCGGACAACTGGTAGCCTAGCTTTTGACCCAAATGGAACCACTTTCTAGAGCGTACTTAATCATGACAAAGTTTTACTACATGGATTCCTTCTGTCTTTTGAAAATGTTGGGCCTTTTTTTTTTTTTTTTTTTTTCGACATTGATTGTTTTCTTTCTCCGCATTTTAACAGGTGCAATACGGAATATCACTATGTACCCGAGAGAGCACAATATTGTTTATAGCATCAAGGGTACAAGATACTGCAGCCATGTTGAGCGGCAACACTCTAAGAACAATGGTGAGTTGAGCATAGAGTTTATTACTTTTTTTTTTTTTTTTAGTTTGTCGTGCTGCCAGCAAAAAGCATTCTCCAGGAACATGGACAATATACGAGTAAAGTCATTTCCTTGAGCATTCTATTGGAGTGAACTCCAACAGCACCCACCTTTCATTCCATTCTATTTTCCTGCACTCGATCTGTTACAAGAAGTGCACCCACCATCTCCATAGTCTCCTAGATGGCAGGCGGTCCGACCACAGATGGTGGGAGAACAAAAGGAAATGAACATTCATTCCCATCTCAAAGATGGCGGGCGGTGCGACCACAGATGGTGGTCACTCAGACCATTTGCAAGCACTTGGATGAATATTGAGCTCCCTCAGTTAGATCTTGTGCACCGATTGCACCAACGCTCACTCTCCCCTCCTATGTTTCCTTTCTACCCTTGGAACTTGAACAAGGTTGGCCCACGTCCTCACTAATCTAACGCTCGAATAGTCTCTGAACCCCCTAAACTTTCGACCTGGGTATGCATGTTTATTTTATCACCTTTTTTTAAATGTGAGTGTTATGTTACTAACATATTTCTTTTTTGTTTGTATTTCTTGTTTGTGTTGCAATTTGTGTGTTGTTTTTGACAGTCATGTGTGTCGTCAATTGCAAAGCGAAAACATGTCATACCAAATGTCATGATTTATCCTGTCAAGGTAGGCTTGTTTCTGACCTAAATGCATGTATCATATTAAACCACCACTACCTTTTCCAGTGTTGGGAAAAATGAGAATATACGTCATACCGCATTTTTCGGGGGTCCGGCAGAGGGTCGGCTACAAGAAAATGTTTGGGCCTTATGAGCTCTAATGCAAAGGCGAAAAAAAAACAACAACTGTGTAGTTGAAATGAAGGACGTTGGGCAGGGAGAGCCGTGAAGGACTTTGCTCACAGTAGTGTTTCCACGAATGCATCTGCACAAAATCATTGCTTGTTTCGACTTTTTTTTTTTCTTCTTCTCTGTTTTTATGTTTTTTTTTTAGTTTTTTTTTTTTCCCTCCTGTTTTGTTTTTGGTCAAGGTCTGCCTATGCTAATCTTGGTGTTTGTTGGGGTGTGGAGATGACTGTTCTGGTCTATTTTTGTCTGTTCTAGTAGTGTCCTCGGACTTTTCCCAGAGTCCGAACAGACTTGTGCGTGTTCGGACG